AAACCACGCCGTATAATAATGTCGTTTCGAAAGAAAGGTTTTAATCTTTCGAAAGAAAATTAATTGAAAAAAAAAGTATCAACGAAATAAAATTATTCTTCGAATCATCTCCTACAAACTAATTTCTACAAAAATGATTCACACCCGTCGCTTGGCGCGGGTAAACGGCTAGTATATATATATATATATATATATATATATATATATATATATATATATATATATATATATATATATATATTATTAAACATATTACACATTTCTTGAAATTTAAGAGGTACAATACCTACTACCTCATGTACAACTTATTATCCAATACAGCTACTCATGAATTGTTTACGGAATCAATTTCGGAATTAAACAATAATTTTTATTCCTAGACTCACAATTACTCACTAAAACCCTAAAGCAATCGTCTTCATCGTGAAACCCTAAATCACAATTACCGCATGTTACCATAACCCTTCTTACGCATCTGTTACCGCCACCATCCTGACACCGTCGTTACCACCACTGGTATTCCTCACTTTTTAGCAATTTTATCAATATGAATCGGTTCCAAGTGCACACCTCACTTTCAATTGATTGCAAAATTATATTGAATAATCTTTTTGTTTCCGGTCATACCCTATCCGTCGTCCCCAGCAGCACCCATCTTCTCCCTTCTCTCCACCCATCGGCGACCATTGCTGAATACCGACTCTGCTTCTGTGAAATTACTAGTCTCCACCTCTGTATGGTCGAACCACCCACCAGCGACCTTCACCGTTACGCTGGTGCGATGAAAGAAACCTATCACAACTACACACACCCTTTCAAAAAATTCAACCCCCATAGATTCTACGATTCTCTCCCTCCTCTCTCTCTATATATATAAGCTTTCTTGCTTCTGCCTATGAATCCTAACCACCAGCCACCGCCAACAACATCAACGCTGCACCATATCTAATACACCGCCACTACAACCATACCACACTTCTACTCAATCTCCTTCTGCCTTCTAATTCCTATAGGCTCCCCTAACCACCTTCCTTCTTCACTACAAACCACCTCTTTCCTCTTTCAAACCCTAATAATTCGATATACAGAGAACCATATGTGCACTTCAATTGAAACCCCCTCCCCCTTCGCCTTCAACCACCATCACAGAAAACCCCACAACATTATTTGCACTTTTCTATAAACCCTATACATGGTTGCCACTCTTCTTTATCACTCACAAACACAAATGATTTCTGTAGTGATCTACTGGAGCTAATCCTGCATTTTTTTAGTTTGATTAAAGGTATAATTTTTAAATATTTTGCTGGTCATAAATTCTGCAGTTGTCTTCACCTTTTGTTATTTATTTTCTGTTTTTTATATTTTTGGTGGTAGTCTTTCATACAAGAACCTTTCTTATGTTGATAATTAGAGTTTGGTTTTGGCTATGATTTTTCTTTTGCTTGCAGCTTGACCAAAGCTCATAGAAGATTTAGATCGTCTTTATCTCCCCACGTCTGTCACCTCACCATAATCTCTCCATTTGAAGAAAGTAAGTCACAAATCTAAGTTTTTTATTTTTATTTTTCTTCATTACTGAAAAAAAATATTTGTGAACATGTGTGTGAATGTTTTTGTTTACAAGGATAAATAACAAATAATATGTCTATGTGATATCTGGATTTACTAACCCCTTAAACAACCACCACTAGTGTCCTCTTCCTCTCTCTATTCATAAGAAAAACACAAGCTTTGTATGTGTTTACAAGTCTTGAAATGAGAGGAAAAGAAACCCGAATGAAAATCTGGTGGTTGGATGTTAGAGTTTAACACTGATCTTTTATTTTCTTCATTATTCTTGATATTTTACATGTTATTTTTGTATTTTACATCTTATCTTTATTGACGAACTTGTACTTATGTGTCCAATTTATAGATGTGAATAAACTATTTGATGAAATACCTGAAAGAGAATTTTTAAAAAATAAAGTTCTGCTAGAAGAGTTGTTATCAAGTAGTGATGATTTGATCATCTTTTGTCTTCTTTTTAACCTGAAGTTCTAGAGATGTGACGTGTGTTCATGATTAATTAAAAGCCTTTCAGGGAAAAAAAATATTTAGATTTCACTACACAGTTATTCCTAATCCTCCATTTGATGTTGCAGTTTTACTCTACATTTTGGTTGGATGGACGTGTTGGATATTAAAGCTGACTAGAGGATGGAGAAGCTTGAGAATTAATGGTAGTTTGAGAAATTATTGTGGTTAAGCATCCTCATTTGTTTCTATTTTTATAAAATGATGTTTTTATCTCATGTCCTACAACCGAATATAAGATTGTTGAGTTTGAGATGAAAATTACGGACATTGATAGTGAGCATCTTGGCATACCTGAAGCAGAGTACCATGTCATTGTTCAAATGCCTTATCTGAATTTGCAAGAATTTGCAAAGATCTCAATATACTAATGACACTCTTAATTAGCTCTTCTCTAGATTTGTATGTTAATATAATCTATATCTGTAGTATTCTTTATTCATAGAGTTCTCAAACAGAGATTACAAGTACAACCAGCAGAGATTCATCCTACTCACTAAGGATACAAGACACATCAAATGACTTAACATGCATCCTATTTATACTGAAGGGCTCAGACCTAAAACCCTATATAGGCCCATGAATGGTGTCAACCAATCACAATCCACCATGTTGTAGTTTCTGGAACATTCATCCATGACATACAACACATGATTGTCAGCAACGCACATGATAGAGCACAATGAGCCATAGTGGAGCATCATGATGCACATGTGGTGCGTCATGAAGATTAGTGGCCCAACATCCATCATGGTTGCACAACATGGTGTATTCCTTAAGCATCGCCAACTTCTAAGCATTTTTGAACAATATTGAGCATCATAGAGGACTTGATAACATACGTGGCTCATCAGGGATACCATGGCTCATCAAGGAACCAAAATGGTGCATCTTGCATGATGATGTCCCATATTATGCAAGGATGGTGCAACATCCTTCAAGCTTGGCACAACTTCCTTCTAATTGGCGCAACTTCCTTCCAAGGTGGCGCAAGATCTTCCATGTTGGCGCAACTTCCTCCACTTTGGCACAACATCTACCAAAGTGGTGCAACATGGTCCAAAGTGGTGCAACATGTATGCTAATGGTGCAACATGCTTGCCTAATGGCGCAACATGCTTGACACTTGGCCCAACACTTAATTAAATGGAACAACTATGCATCAAGTTGCTCCATTCCACTCCCAAGTGCTCCAAACCTCTTCCAAATGCTCCATACCCCCTTTTAGACGATATGTTCCTTTAACACTTGAGCTGTCCTTTGTCAGATGATTCATTCCCTTCTCAAATGATTTGTTCATTTCTTACATGCTCCATGAACCCAAGTGCTCAATTAAATTCAAATGCTCCATGAGAATCCTCCAAATGCTCAAGTCACATTTAACAATCTTCACCTTGACTTGAACATCATCTAAACTCCACCTTAAACAAGAACTTCTTCTCCCTTTCTTCCATCAAGCTCTTAAGGGCCCTACCTCCAGTGTAAATCAAGAAAGTCCAAGCAAATCTTGAACTTCTCTCTGGGAAACATCCTTGTCACAATGTCTTCTGGATTCTCCTTGGCACCAAACTTTTGAATGCATAACCTGTCATAGAACATGATAAGTTTTTCCACCTTCAAAAGAAGACTTTGAACGAGACCAACCGCCAATGATCTTTTTGTCTCCAAATCACTTTCATGGTCTGAGTCTTCCTTTTTCTTTTTCTCTTTTTTTCATAGTTTATGGGTAAAATTTTAATAGATTAAATAAGATGCAACTCCTATTTCTTTTTAGGTGATGAAACATTTTACACTTCTTTCTAGAACACCAAACAATTTGACCAATTACCACCAACAAACAATTTTTATAATGATATGTATGTTGAAACATCTTTTGGAATAAACTCTAACACATTGTTTATGGGTCCAAATTAATGAAAAGAGAGAAAAGAAGTGAAATGAACTGGAATACAACAATAAATTCATGATCATTAATTATGTATGTTTTCATTAGAAATATGGTTAAAAAGTAGAAGAAAACATAAGGTTACCTATGTTACTTTATCGAAATGAAGAAAGAATAAAGGGAGCATTTTCCTAGATGAAACCAGAGCACCTGAGAACCGGTGGTGGCGACAATTACTTACCGGGGACAAGATACAGCCAGCAAAAATGAAAAAGAAGCAACGACGAGGCAGGAGAGGAGGAAATGAAGGAGGGGTTTTTCTGTGCAGGCTATGAAAAGAAGAGTAAGGATTTCATTGAGAATCTATAGAACCTTTTGCACTTAACTCATTAGCACCTGAAATAAAATAAAGAAGAAAAAGAAGAAAAAAACATCTATAAGAAAAGCATTTACTTTTAGGATCAGTTATCTATGTAAACTTGTTACTGTAGGTTTTTGTTGTCTTGTGTTGACAAAGATGCTATATATGTGTAATAGCCTTCTCCTCAATTCAGCTTGCATTAATAAATTTTGGTGTAGTTTCGGCAACTAGTTGTTCCATTTGTTGTCCATACATGACATCGGATAATGCCTTTAAAAGGATATACAATACTAATGTGTGCTTTCATTTACAGTGGTTTTCAGTCGATGAGAACGAAAAGAATCAAGAAATGATATCTGCAATGAAATTCATGCATACAGACCCAAACAAATTCGAAGCGATCTCTTTACCTGGATCTTGGTTATCTTTCTTCTCTTTTGTCAACTTTCTATAAAACTTGATCTAATGACAAGCCCAAATTTTATAATTTACTTGATGTGTACACGTTTTAATGAAATAAATATTTGTTTATTCTCCTAATTAGATTGGGCAATATCTGTTAAACTGATTTTAATTTATAAAACCAAAATCAAACTCCTTTTACAAGGAGATTTTGGTAGACAAATGCTTGAATAAACTAATCTAGTTGTATGTCTTCCAACATGTAGATTCCCAATGGTAGCAAAGGTTTTGAATGCATCAAAGATTAATATGCAAGTGACGATAAGAGCACAATTTCTATCATCTGATGTCACTTATGCAGCTTACCTCATATGCAAACACGAATATTCTACTCAAAATCCGGTTATCAAAAGTCTAAAGTACAAACTAAACAACCAAATCCAGTCGTATATTTCATATCATGGAGATTATAAAAACAGATGGGTGATGATGGAACTATTTCAAGCCAAAGTTCTTTCTAGAAATTTTGAATTCAAACTTTTGCTAGAAGAATTTGCTTCTGATAGCTTCCATGATGAAGTTATTGTCGAAGGCATCGTGTTTTCGCCGGTACAAAAGGTATGTTATGATATAAAATTTATGAATAACAATGTTGGTAATTTCACCAAATCGTTTTAGTGCAATGAGATTTGTAAGATTTCCATCGAGCTCAAACTTTGATTTTATACAAGTTGCTAGGTGCATAATGTATACTTGTTTAAAACGAATATTATAAGTGACTACTGCTTAATTATAGCACATTAATGGTAGTAATTATCTAATAAGGCAATTGTTGAATTAAAAGAGTGGGTAGATGCATATCAGGTATCAAAGAAACAAAAGCAAAAGACAAAGGCAAAAGAAAGAAAGAGAAAGAAAAAGAATGAAAACGATAATTGTTTAATAATATTGTACTTTCTATTTTGTAATAAGAAAAATACAAAATTACTTGTCTGGAAAGTTAATTTACAAATATACATTGTTATCATTCAGTTTTTGGGGTTTGTGTTAAGATAAAACATTCTCATACTTCACAGTTTGATGATGAAAATATCGAAACACAAGAGATGGAGAATCCCACAACGACTGAGATAGAATGGGAGAATAAATTGTCGAGCGACTATGAACAACTCATACATTGTTCTGGAAAACGTTTAGTGAAAAGGCCCTGGAATAGTTTCATCATTGAAACCAAAGAGGAGGCGTACTCCATTCTTTCAAAAGGTATTTATATCAAGGTCGAAAATGATTATGATGTAACACCTGCTCCAGGTATTGATTAATTTATATAATTTTTAGGATTTTGTGCATGGACTCAGCGAGTTGGGGTGCTCCAACTCGTCGAGTAGAGACTATTATGAGGACACGGGATTTGGGTTCTACTCGACGAGTCAGAAGGTCCCGACTCGACGACTAGGAGTTGTAAAGAGAAACCCTAAGTTTTAGGGTTTGCACCCTATTTAAAGAACATAATCCGCCTCTTGTGGCCTCCCTTATCACCCTATTAGCCAGAGAAAACCCTAGTTCGACCTTGCACCTTCTTTAGTGAGAGTAAGAGCTTTTGTGAGTAATTTTGGGGTATTTGTGAAGGATTCTAGAGATTGAAGAGGAAGGAGCAAGGAGAAAAGCAGTAGATCCGACATCTACTTTGTATTGGCCATCATCTTGAGGTATAAAGTCGTCACCTTGATCTCTAGTTGATTAGATCCCTTATCTTGGAAGTAAATGGCCATTTTTGGTGCAAAATGGAGTCAAACTTGGATCTGGACTTATCACAAGGATATGGTTCCAGATCTGGACCTCTCTAGGTCCCCAATGACATAAATTTGCTCACTTTATATAGATTAGCCCCTTTCCATGCACAAAAACCTTGTAAGAAGCCTAGTTTTGATGTTATAGCTTTAGAGGGCCTTGCATGCACGTAAAGTTTGCAACTTTACGTGGTATCTGCACTAGGGGAGGTTGGATCTAAAGTTTGGGACCTTAGATCCCACTGAAAAGGGATGAACATGAAAGGGACCGAAGGAACTCATCGGGTCCCTTATCTGACTCGACGGGTCAAGGTAGGGTTTGCCCGTTTCCGAGTTTCTGGATGAGTGCAATGAAGGGTTAGGATTTTGGTCTGAGCGGACATTAGTTTTCTGGACATTTGATGAACTTGAAGAGTCACTAGGGTGACTCGGTGAGTTGATGCGGGATTCAGTGGAATGGACTCGGGAGGAACTCAACGAGTTGTTGGATGCACTCGACGAGTTGAGGTCAACATGGACTGTTGACCTTGACTGTTGACCTTGACTTTGACCAGGGTTGACTTTGAGGGTAATTATGGGATTATGACAAGTTAATCACATGTTGGTTATAGGCAGTTGAGGAGGAGCAGTGCGTGAGATACATCTGATCTTAGCTTGTCAGTTCAGCATTCGAGAGGTGACTCTTCTCACCATACCAATGGGTCTACGGCACCAAGGCCGGTCCATTTTATGATATGTGGTACACTAGCTGTAGTAAAGATATGTGGTATGATAGTTAGCTTTATGCTAAGTGGTATGCTAGTGATTATGTGATATTTGCATGGAAGACCCCGGATGGAGCCCGTGGCAGTTGGATATAATACCATGTGGGGGAGCCTGTGGCATTCCTAGGTAAAGACCATGGAGGAGCCCATAGCATGATGGTGTAAGACCCTGGGAGGAGCCCACGACATCCTTATATGTTTATGTATGAGTTATGTAGTATGATAGATACTTCTGTGATATATATAATATGTTTGTTGATTATTATGTTATTGCGTGGAAGACCCCGGGGGGAGCCTGTGGCAGTTGGATATAAGACCATGTGGGGGAGCCCATGGAATTCCTAGGTAAAGACCATGGGGGAGCCCATGGCATGAAGGTATAAGACCCTGGGGGAGCCCACGACATCCTTATATGTTAGTATGCATGGCTTATGTGATATATGTAGCTTTTATGGCTAATATGATATATGTTATGTGGATTGTGTGGGGTATGCTCTCGGGGACTCACTAAGCATTAGCTTACAGCTTGTGGATTTGTTTCAGATACATATGAGCCCAAGGGTAATGGCAAGGCTTGATGGCGCGGCGTGCACTCTCTCACGCATTTTTATGGGACACTTCGATGTTTGAAAATAATATTGTTATGGATATGAATTTGAAAACAATTGTATTGAGATTTCATGGTTTATAGAAAAGTGTTCTCACTATTTAAAAATGAAAATTTTCTTTTGAAAAATTAGGTCTTTATAAATGACATGGTGAGTCTCTTAGCCTCTTATCTATTTTTATTCTTTTTTACTCTTTTAACTTAGAAACTTCTTAAAATTTCCATCCATAAATGCGTAATTATGATTTACAATAGTGAATTTATGAAATAAAAGATGGAAGATAATTTTCTCAGTTACCATGAGAATTTTAGGAATAAAATCAGATTCATTTAAGCATGAATCAGATGACAAGCAAGTGATACCCAAACGCTTGTCTACTTCATTTTGAGATCACATGTTTACAAATAGAGATTAAACTATTGAGTAAATTACACGAATAGTCCCTATGGTTTAGGGTAATTTGCGTGTTTGGTCCCTAACTTATTTTTTTAACTCGGAAGGTCCCTACTATTTGCTTTTGTTACACGTTTGGTCCCCGTCTTACCTAAAAAGACTATTTTGCCCTTAATTTTTTGATTTATTTAGATAAACATACCCCCAACCCCACCTCCCTCACCTTATCTTACCTACTCCACCAACTTTCAATATTTAAATAATAGTCTTTTTAGGTAAGGCAGGGATCAAGCGCGTAACAAAAACAAACAATAGAGACCAAACACGTAGCAACAACAAACAATAGGGACCTTCCGATTTAAAAAAATAAGTTAGGGACCAAACATGCAAATTACCCCAAACCATAGGGACCATTCGTGTAATTTACTCTTAACTATTGTTATAACCTACAATTCTATGTATCTTATTATACTTTAATGTCAAACTAACATATTTTTATGTCTATTTTCTGTGATCGGATGCAATTTAATGTTCTGATATATAAAACTTGTTTATAAAATAAGTCATTAAATCATTAAAGTCACATCTATATATAAAACGACCCCCAAAACCTAAGTGGCCATGGTCTCACTTAAAACCCTTTGGAAGTTGACAATTTAGATTTAGAGGTTGTTTAGTAGAAACCGGATAATTTGTGATGAACCATAAGAGACCTAAATATTTAGGAGGTCTGAATGATTAAGTGTTGTTTGGTAAACTTGCTGAAGAAAAAAAAAATATTTTACCTTTCCAAGAATTTTAATTAATCAAAATCTATAATTTTCAAATTAACATTTATAAAAATTTTAAAGATCAATTTTTTAAATATACTTATTGTAATCCTTTTTTATCCATGTAATTCAAATACACATGTATTTTCAAACCAAACATAATTTTAGTTTCTCATACATATAATTAGTATCATTTGTTTAATAAAATTAATAGAAGAAGTCGCTTTTCCCGGTGGCTTCTGGGAAATGATACGACCAGCCACCATCTCGTAGATGACAAAATATTTAGTTGGGAACTTGGTCAGATGTATTTCGATCAATTAGTTTTTTAGGGATTTTGCTTTAGAAATATGGAAGAACGAAAATGGTGGAGAAAAGTACATCCGAGAATCGGAATGTAGTCTCCTTAAAAACCTGACAATGGATAAAAAACCAGAGTGGGAGAAAGACACTTTGATGGCTGCACTTCAAAGAGAAAAAAGGAAGAACGATGGTGGTAAAGAAGAAGGGCATGCTTAGAAAAGAATAATTCAGAGCTTCTAACTCCACCTCTCTATATGAATCAGAGCTTTTCTCTTTCTACCAAACAGTCTAAATAATACCCATTAAGAGGTTACCTCTTAACTAAATGGTTAAGAGAGTTTAACCAAATATTCTTTTAATTAATTAAATTCTCTTATCCATTTGGTTAACAAGATTTGGAATATATGATTTGTTGTCTTATAAACAACTTAAAATCAATACATTGGATTAGCATTTACAAATCATTGTCGCAATTTAAAATCTTGTAGGGAAATGCTAACTCAAATTCAAAATTCAGAGTCCATAAATTTGTTGACCATGAAATTCAAAATTAATATGATATTATGAATTAACTTAGGCCCAACAAGACGAATTTCAATAACACAAATTTAAGATCATAATCTAAAAACATTTAGTTCACAAAGATAGAACCTCATTAAAAAATGAACATATTATCTTACAGTAGTCATTTGCCATTTTTTCCATATGAGAATCAAAACATAAAATTAAAAGTCATTATCATGAAATAAACCTATATAAAAAACATATTTAAGTTCTAAAGTAATCATTTCTTCACCCAATGTATTTAGATTTGTAAGAGTTTCAAAAATTTAAGTAAGCTTTTCGGTAAAACAATTTATGTTATGCAAAAGATATTGACAAGAAAATTTTCATACCTTACGGTTTTTTGAAGCCTGAAGGTATCATGTTCCACACACTAACTACTTGGTCGTTGAATCTAAATTCACCCAAGATTAGTAATTCAATAAATTGTTTTCTTGATAAATAAGATTTAAACAGTATTTTTTTAAAAAAAGGGGAAATATATAGAAGGTTGGGAATTAACGGGAAAAGATTGCTTCCACAACGTCTTACTATCGTTACAATTAAAACATATATCGTGAGATCCATGTACATTATCATTTTTTCATATATAGTTTAAAATTTTAGGTCTTTGGAAGTTTGTTTATTTCCTTCAACTTTTTTATTTTCTTCTTATTTAGAGCAAGCTAATTGTGGAAAATGGTCCCTATTCTTTTAACCCATTATAACAGCTTACTTGCATTACTCTACCAATGGGCGTTTGGCCTAGCTATATTAAGAGTTCACATAGGTGCCCCTCAGCCAAAGGTAGATGATTCAAGTCCCGCTTAGGATGAAAGGTGTAAATTAGAGGGTGTGTGTAAGTCGTTCTAAAAACTCTTACATTTATCTACCTAAAGAAGGGTTAAGTGTCTAGGAAGGTGCGAAGAGGGACAAAATATACTAAATATTCACACATAATGGCAATGTGCTTATCTTTTGTGCCCAAAAGAGAAACGTGCTTACTTTTTTAAGTATGATACGATCAATTTTATTGATAGCATAATACAAGTATGTTGCTTTTATCTTAATTCTATTTCTTAGATAATAGCATTATACTTTGAAATCCACCCATATATAACAATGTCCTCTAAATGCAAAGAAAATTTGAATGTTATCTGACGGTATTTTGTAATGTATAATGTCCTAGTAAAAAAATAAATCGAAAGCACAATGTTATAATGTGTGTGTGTGTGTATGTATATATATATATATATATATATATATATATATATATATATATATATATATATATATTGAAAAGATTAACAAAGTATGGAAAATTATATTCTTTTATTTTGTAGTTCTTTTGGATAACCAAATCAAACGGGAAGAAATGTTTCATGCTTTCACCAAAGATAATACGACATAATCCTGAAGTTGACAAGTTGGTACCTAGGGAAAATCTAAACGAATCAAGGTATGTTTCTCTCATAAGGTTAATTGAACTATTATGTTTATTAATATGCATTTAGGGTAAATATGGAATAGCCCAATACATTTTAGCCAATTATATGGAAAAAATGTGAAGATTTCACAAAAAAAAGTCAATTCAAAGTTTGAGATAGTTCAGTTTTTGCAACGAGTTCTTTATGTTTGTTTTTACTTACCAACATGTAAATAAACTAATAATATGGACCTGAGATTGATAGAAATCGATGGCATGGATGAGAATTTGACATAAACTAATGACTTGGGCGATGAGTGGGACATAACATTCAATATCAAATTGGAAATAGTTTTAGGCTTTATAGTCGAATGATTCAATACTAAAATGATAATGGTTTATGTTAAAAACCGATATCATTCATCAAGAAATAGGAAGTGTTGCTCTACATACACCCATCCCTTTTCTAGTAAATCCTACATTACCTCGGTAAAACTTTTGTGACCTCACCTTTTCCCTTGGCTGACTCATCCTTCTATACCTTTTTCTTTGTTCTCTCCAAGGAAAAGAGGAGAGATGACGCTGTTATTTTATAAGTTGGAGTTCCAATTATAAAATGGGATTATTATTTTTTAATTATATAACTGTTTCTAGTTACTACTAATATTAATATCGCTCTTTCCATGTATCTATTTTTTGTTTTGAAATAGTTGAGAAGCCTCTTTTTATTTCTTATGTGACGAATCTTATAGATTACGTAATTCAGCTGTGTTTTCGTTTCTCATTATCCTTTTAAATCTTTATCCTTTTCTGCAACTAAGTTTTTATGAAACAAAAGAGAAAAATAAGGAAAGAGAAGACCGGAGTTATTCAAGTTAATTTCAATAGAGAAGAGTGTCGTTAAATATGAAAATCAAGTGGCAGTTTCTTCATATAAGTTTTTACTACAATGTCGATGAAATGAATGATGATGCAAATTAGATGAGGGTTTACGAGAAAAGAATAGGAAATAATATAGGAACTTTTCTTAGAATAAAGCTTCATGAAAATGATAATTAGAAGAAAAATAATTAAAGAAGAATCCATGAATGGATGTAAAATATTGTACAATATTGGTGCCCTATTGTTGAATTGGACATGCTAGAAATTAAAAACTCAAAATAAAGAGCAACAACACAAAGATTTTGAATGGAAACCATATAGCCATATGCACACAACAAGTTATATTATTATCGATAGAATGATATTTACAAGAGTTAGAGAAGTATTTCCCAATGATTTGTTAGTAAACTAAGTCGATTTATAGAGAAGTCAGTGGACTTGTAATATAATAAAAACTCTAATAACCACACAAAATCTAGTTGTATACATATATAACAATATGTAACTTGCGTAATACTATTGAGAGAAAATGGAAACAACCTATAGAAGAATTCAAGAGTAATTCATGTCATCAATAAACAATCTCCACCTTGAGACAAATTCCCTCCTTGAAGCAAAAAAAAAAAAAAAAAAAAAAAAAAAAAAAAAACCATGGTCTGCTCCTCCAACAACTAAAATAGATGGTGTGTGCCATAACCTGGTAGTACACTTTAACACCAACCAATCTTGAGAAAAGTTCAAACTTCGTAACAGGAACTAGCTCTGTCATTATATCAGCATGAGTACTTATATTGTATACTTTGATGTTGACATTAGCAATAACAAATATAATTAGTGATATATAACATTAACGTACATTGTTCTATCATGGAACATTAAATCCTTAGCTTTGACTATAAAAAATTGATAATACAAGATGTCTCTCCACATGGATTATTTAAAAACACTCTCAAACCAAATAAATTATTTGCATTCTTTAAAAATAATGATGCATCTGACCCTACAAGGTTACTTAATTTCCAACTTACAACACAACTCCCAGCAGTGAAAACATAACCTACAGGTGACCTTCTTTTTTCCAAGCCTCCAACATAATCAAAATCGACATAACAAACAAACCCATATCTAGATTTTCCAAACTCCAAAAAAGCCTAATAAGTACCATGCAAGTATCTAAGAGTCTACTAAACTACCTTCTAATGCTCATTTATAGGATTAGCCATGAATCCCCTAACAACACTTACCGCATGAGATAAACAAGGATGTGAAGAAACCATTCCATACATAAATGAACCAACATCACTAAATATGGAACTTTAGACTTGTACTCAATATCATCATCTGTTTGTGGGCATAAAGTTGATGATAATATGAAATTTACCCACTCTAAATTAGGTATAATATTCCATATAGTGTGTCTCTGGACATTTCCATGAAAAGTATCTTATTCGTTGTACCAAAATCCTTCATATTATGTTCACCATTCAGTTACCCCTATAATTTCTCAATCTCTACCTTACCTTTTACTTTATAAACATGTCGTGGACCTAGAGGAGTAATTAATTAGTAGATGACTGAATTTTCTTAAGGTTCCCAACTCAACATTGTGGCTTTATTTGTCTACAACTATCTACAAATAAAATCATCATTTTTGGACACGTGCTCTTATATCAGCATGTCCTATGTTACGGATCCATGACTCCTCATCAATCGTCTTCCTATAAATTCCTTGACCACGATAACTATCATTATGTTGACTTTCACAGTGTTCATATCCAAATCATGGCCCACCACCAACTACCTATTTAACCGGCTAAACAATCATCATCCTCGCCTTGATCCACTTCCATCACACATACAAACCTACGACCCTGACCATCGGTCTAGCCCAATTCAACCACAAAACCAACCCTACCGGACACTCTCCCACTCCAACCTAATTCCAAGTCAAAGACTGACAACCCCTTCTACGATCCGCTAGTCCTCCAACATGAGCTAAAACCAAATACTACATCATTGATCCCTCTTATATAACCAAAGCTACTCACCCCATTCTCACTTGTGTAAAAGTTGGTACCTACAAACATGTCTAACGCCCAAACCTTTACTTGACCCCTCTATCCCCTATTAAAAGTTGGTACTCATAGGCTTTACATGACTCCAACTGGATCAATGCCATTAATATGGAATATCGTGCCTCATCTTTAATGGCATATATAGATAATAACATCCTACTTATACCAAATACACATATTTCATATTCATATACAACATATACACCAAACACTCATACATTCACATATATACACCAAATTTACATAGATTCACATACATATATCAAATATTAAAGGATATATTTTTGTCA